AAGAATTGAATTGAATTGAATTGTTATTATTATTATTATTATATTTCAGCGTCCTGTTGCATAGATGTACCTTCTATAGTCGTTTCCTTTTTCCGTCTTAATGCAACAAATTAATAATATTAATTCTCATTTAATTCATACAATGATCGTTTAATACATAAAATGATATTACAATTATTAAAATATTAAAATATATACATGTTGTTATGTTACTACGTATTTCGTCCTTACAAGGCCATATTCAGGCAACATTTTATAAGGATTATAATCCACTGTACGCTATTTATATAGCATTCTTAATGTATTCCGTTAATGTTCCTTCATTTTTTTTGATCTCTTTGAATTGTGGCTGTTTCTCTGCAATCTGCAATGTATAACACGTTACAATATTGTTTTTAATGATTGGTTGTACTACCTTTGTGTATTTAGATGCTGTAATTTGTACTTACATATCATATTAGTTGTATTGTTTTTCGTTGTGCGTATGAAGCGTCGCCTTGCGTTCCTTGTACAATTGAATTTTGATGTACATGTTTGATTGCTCTCGCTTAGACACATTTTAGGGAGCGAGTGTGTCGCTACCTATTGTAAAGTTCCTGAATTATTTTAAATATGGGGTTGTGTCCCTCGATGTTTGTATGTTTATGTGCAAGTTGTTTTACGTAATTTTATAAATATAGTATTTTTCTAAAGTACTTAAATGTGTGCCCTTCCTTCCTGTACTTGCGACGTCCCTGATATGTGTTAATGGGCCATACGCGTGGCCCTGTTTATTTTTTGACTTGTATACCCGGAATTGCTTCTATTATTTCGGATGACATGAATACACTACACTTCGCCAATGACGTGCAAGTGCGCATGCCTCTCTTACTGTACACTTTTTACCTGCTGCACGACTGTCTTTTCAGCGCACGTAATAACTTAACTTTGGAATGTGGCATCATATGTGAAACGCTTTTCCAAGGATACAAACTGGTAAGAACTTAGCACATCTGAACCATAAGAATGTCAGGCAATAACTGAACTGAAAGTTTGGGGTTGACTCACAGTTAAAGGTGGGGGGGGGGATGATGTGGCTTGATGACTGACTGAATATATATTTACGTTAATTTCTTTCCAGGAAACTCCATGGAAAGTTTGCAAGCTGGTGAATAATTCCTCGTATTTCAGACGAAATTATAAAAATTATATAATTTATTCGTGATGCATAAAATGTAACTTGTATTCTTCTCCAAATATAATTAGAATAATCAAGTCAAGGATTATGAGATGAGCATGGCATGTAGCACGAAAAAGGGGTAGAGTATTTTTTTATTTTTTTTTTATAGCTAGTTGGGTGAAACTAAGTCCCTTGTACTGCGGCCACTTCTAGCCTATTGTACCAGCCCCAGATGATAGGTGAGGGTGATTGTGGAGCAATTGGTGGAATGAAGATTGGCAGGGGAAACCGAAGTACTCGGAGAAAACCTGCCCCAGCCCCGCTTTTCCTACCATAAATCCCACTTGACCAGACCCGGGATCGAACCCGGGTCGCCGCGTTGGGAAGCCAGTGACTAACCGCTTGAGCTATGGCGCGGCCAGGGAGTAGAGTAATGTATATAGGATATTGGTGCGAAAGCCAGAAGAAAAGAGACCACTGGGAAGACCAAGGCGTAGGTGGTTACACAATATTAAAATGTATCTTAGAGAGATAGAATGGGATGATGTAGATTGGATTGATCTGGTTCAGATTAGGGACCAGTGAAGGGCTCTTGCGAACACGGTAATGAACCTTCGGGTTCCATGAAATGCTGGGAAGTTCGTGAGTGGCTGCACAATTGGCATCTTCTCAAGAAGGGCTCAGCTCCATGAATGAGTGGGTGAGTGGGTATAAAATGTAGTTACTGATGAATTAGACTTCTATTTAACTTCTGAAGCAATCCTCAGCAGTGTTCAGCAGTGGTCAGCGAATATGCTGATGCACCACTTCCCTTTGTATCGGTGATTTATAGCGGGTATTTCATGATGAAAGTGATTCCCATGCATATCACTAACAGCACCCAAGTTTGTTGAAAAAGAAATCGAGATATGAGTTCAGGATATTAATTTTTATATACTCTTGCAGCCCATGAATCTGTAGGCACTGAGGAGGCCAACAACATATAATTTTCTACCTTGAAGTTACGAAGGAAATTTGGGTCATCTCGATCGTTGCTGTCAGAACTGCTTCTTCAGATTCGAGCAAATTGCGTTAGACGTTCCGTCCCTCATTGCCTCTCTCATCGGCGGAAGCATCTGTTCCTGGCAGAGACACGCACTGCCATTTCAATCCATGGCATTTACAAAATACTCATGATTCGAGTTGAATACGTAGTGGCGGCTCGAAAACTTTTCTGGATTAAGTAGAGGTTTATTGGTCACATTGCTTTTGCTGTGGGATCAATGTTTTATAGAAGTTTCTATTGCCTTTCTAAGTAATGACTTTCCGTTAACCACAAGAAGGTGCATATTTATCGCCTTATTCCTTCATGTGAAAGCCATGTGTTATTGGAACTGAAGGGCATTTATTACCATTACGGTGAAACACAGATTTAATACTCATCTTCGAGGAACCGATAAATAGGTGCCATTCATTTTGATCATATTATTGGCCAAGAGCTTCCACAAAAGCCAATATTATTACACGGGGGCTATACTCATTGCCTCTGTGGGCTAGTGATCAGAGTTCCTGGCTACAGACAGAGGTCCGGGTTCGATTTCCAGCGCTACCAGATTTTCTGAGAAGTAGTGTGTTTGGAACGGGGTCCACTCAGCCTCTTGAGGATAATTGAGGAACTTTTTCAAGGAAATAGAGGCTCCGGTCTAGAAAACCGAGATTAACGATCGTGGGGATTCGTTGCGCTGACCACGCGACACACCCTATGCTCAAAAGTTGGCACTAACTTCGCCGACAAGCGGCGGTCGCTCAGTCGGTATAGTTCGCTTGAGGACTACAGGCCACGGAGTTTGTTTTTGTTAAAAGTCTGTGTAACTAACTGTATTGAAGAGTGCCAACTCATGAGGCAGCAACACAGAACACGAAGACTGTAGTAAGCACAATGGGACAGAGAGCTGACAACACCGCAGTAACGTAACAGTTTGCTTTGTATAGCTTCGTTCTCTTTACCTGTCACACATGCTGACACATCTGCTTCTTCTAGAGAAGCTCGAAGAGTCAGAAACATATTCAGAACGACTTTCTGCATATTCGTTTAATCTTTTTCGCCTTTACATCTGTTTGCAACTCACTTGTATTTTCCGAAACTAGCTTTTTGCATTTACACCACTAACCATTTCAATTGCGTTTTCTTTATAAAGGTGGAAACAGCATTATAGTAAAGCAAAATGAATTACGTAATTTTCCTCAGAAAATCTATACTATTCAATTCTTAATTAAATATTAATGTTTCATTCCTCTATTCGTAATAGCACTTAGTTTAATGCTAATGGAATTATTATTACTGTTATAATTATCACTTATTTGTTTGTTTACTTTTACTTTTATTCATTATTATTTCTTCCAATTACTTAACTGTAATTTGTATTTGACTTTTAATAAGTTTGTATGTAATGTAATTCAGTCATCTACACTGTGCTGAGTCTGTAATTGGCCTTGCGGCTGTTGACTCGGCACATTAATAATAAAGAATTGAATTGAATTGAATTGTAATATTTTCTTATTCAGTGATGCACAAATTCAGTGCGTCACAAACCACACAGACACACAAACACAACCTCCGCACCTGTACAGCTTATGAGAACTAAAGAAGAAAACTTGCGTCCGACCTCTCCACGCTCTCCACTACATGGACACTACCATAAACCCACTGGCGGTTATTGTTTCTTTGGCTGCGGCCACGTTGGCAGCGGAATAACCCGATCCTGTCACAAACTACCTCTTGATGAATGTAATCACAATGTCAGCTTCTCTGAACGGATCTGATCGTAGTCCAATCGGCCGAGTCCGGAAGAAACAAATTGCCTTTCAGCAGAGCAATCGGACAGAACTAGGAAGCACTGAAACACTGTGCGCAAGTGTGACGGTTGGGTCAAGCCGTGTCGGTTTTATGACGACATGGGCCGCTAAGCATGAATTAGTTGAGGTTATGATTTCGGTTGACGTCGTTCCGACGTGACCCGGCCTGTTCCGATATCAGTGTTACATGGCAGCAGTCTCTACGTGGGAAAGATGCAACAAATAACACTCCATTACTTTTTGAATTGGTATGAAAAAGTCACACGAGTAAATACACAAAATGTGACGTATCTGAAGCAGGTAACTCGGGCCCACTGCAGAGTTCGACTGAAACGTGAGGCTTTGGGCCCGATCCCACATTCACCCCAAATATCAGCTCATTTTCTTTACACTCGAGACGGCAAGTGATAAAGAATTGTGTTAAAAATTGCAATTACAATTAAGCAAAATAGAATGTATTGAATTTTTTACACTATATTTACATTAATGTTTATCGGGGGTTTTAGACTTTTTTCATCGACTGGAATTTTAGGTAATAGAGGACACGACGTTTCGGAAACTGGATATGTTTCCGTCTTCAGGTGAGAAAGGAAGACGTCTACTCAGTTGGGCCCCGTAGAAAGATCAAATTGAGAGTGAGTGAGATTAGCCCTTTCTAAGGGGCCCAACTGAGTAGGCGTCTTCCTTTCTCACCTGAAGACGGAAACAGATCCATTTTCCGAAATGTCGTGTCCTCTATTACCTAAAATTCCAGACGTTGGAGAAAGTCCAAAACCCCAGTAATTCTATGTGTCATCCACCATCGTCAGAACCCTTTAGAATCTAATTAATGTTATTGTTGTAGTTAGGCTAAATAGAATCGCTTTTATTATACATAATGTTGAGTTTTCAGGGAAATTCAACCAATTTCGCTTTGATAATTTTAACAAATATTACAGTGCATGGCAACCTACTAGCAGTACACATTTTCTTCCTGATTGGCAGAATTGTGATTCTGACATTTCAGTGCCGAAATTCCACACCGCAGGAGTGGTGCCATTAATGAAGAGTCTCCAATCATATTCCAAGAAAACAGTGGACTTTTGGGACAACTGGTTGTTGGAAAGCGCAGGTACAGACGAAGGATGAACCCTCTGGTGTCAAAGCATGGAAATAATAAACTTTTATGCATGAGAATGCTTTGCTGTCAGTAGTCATTTTTAGTGATGGACATTATCGAATATTTCGTACCATCGAAAACTTATTCGACAAGAGAATATAATTATTGAATGAACCATTCACAGTCCTATTTTACAGATCGGTACAAATGTGCGTTGCAGATCAGTTTAGCAGTCCCGGTAATTTTGATTTTGCATTCATCCTGTAAATTAAAAAAGGAATTTCTCTCCCTGGCGATATACGTCTGGAAAAATCGGTTCCCTCTGCAGGTAACATCTTACGAACCTTTCATTTTTCACTTCTGCCCCTTACCAAGCAAGAATAGGCCAGGTAGGGCAAAGGAAAAGGAAAAATGATCTGAAAGCAGTAAAATAAGAGAACACAATATGTGCAGTTCTTTGTAAGGTAAAGTTATCCCTGCGCTTAATTAAGTATCACGCCAGTAAGACGTATGCTGGAGTGCAGGTATAGATCCACCTTTCAAAATCATGCCACTATACGGAGTTAATAGCTTCACACCCGGCCGTTTTAACCCCGAGAGAGGAGCTTCCGCTACCCAATGGATAGGAGTCTGGTTGGGCCCCAGAACCTGTCTGGAGGCTATGAAGAACAGACATTAAGTTTTCTTCAATATAATTATTTTGTAAACTTAAAGCATCCTAACAAGGCAGCTTATCATAGAATCATTTCAGCAATAAAGCGACACGGCTCTCAAATAGAAGGAAACAAATTACAGTATGCGCCAAAAACTACAGTACTGAAACTCGCACATCTCGAACGCGCATGTGCGTTTGTCGGCGCACATGTTCCCCGTAGTGAAAAGGAAGTTTTGTTGTGCAGTTGTTGGAAATGGGTCTCTGGACGGAGGAAAAAGTATTCATAGTTGAGTATTATTTCCGCTCATACGGAAGTGGTGGCCAGACAACTCGCTTCCTTGGTTTTGAGCGGCCAGATGTTAACGTCCAGAAACCGCTACACAGTACACGTGTGACGGTATGGTGTGCCGTTTCAGCACACGGTATATTAGGCCCCTATTTCACTGAGGTTGAGGAAGGCAATGCTCTTACCGTCACCCAAGAACGCTACAGGGACATGGTGATCGGACCATTTCTTCAGGATTTGAGAAGGTTCTGTCGTGCAAGAGGCCTTCACATGAATAGACAGTGGTATCAACAGGACGTCTTTTCATTTCAGTACTGAATTTTTGACGCATGCTGTATTTAAATTTCAACTGAAAAAAAGTTTTTGAGAACTCTGATTAACGTTCGAAGGATCAAACGTATCTATGATGCACAAATTATTTTTAAAAAATTGAACTTGTCTAGGGTACAGTTTTTGTCCAACCCCTCACCATATTCATGGATCAGAATTTCTGAGCAATGCTACGTAACGCTGACAATGTCGGGATTAACGTTACCAGGACCACGCTTCGTCTGTCTGGATCGGTTCCGGTTTGGGGGACAGTGAACAAACGGAATTTCCTAGTGCGAATTCAGGTTCGGGGGTTTTTTTTTAAAAAGGAGAATTTGAAAATAATGAATACATTGCCAAGCTTCGATCAGGAACTGTCCTTTGTCCTGATAAGCTGGGTTTTTTGAAGTTGTGCTTTCGCGAACAAAAAACATCGAGAGTTTAATATGAGAATTGTTACAACGAACAATTCCATCTGCATGAAATGTTTGTCTGAACTTACTTATTATTAAGTTGCATGTCACAAAGAAAATAAATGTATTCGCTTAACTATGCTTATTGCTTTCGTCACTATTGTGTTATTGATGAGTTCTTCAAATCAAGTGCTTTACATAATCGAATGAAAATTGTCGAATAGTAATTGTAAGGGTATCACTACAGCAACACTCATCTAATTCATGATAATCTAGTTCTGTTCTTAATATACAATGATTAATCAGTCGGCAAAATTCCTCTTATATCACCTTCAGCAGAGAATACCATAACATTTCATCAGTGATTTTGTGTGCCTACGGCATCAGTAGCGAACAGGCCTATTCTAAATCCAAATTATTCATTAACCACGATGTCATTTGATTTTATCTTTCGCCCTTGGCTTTCTTAAAAGTTAAAAATACTGTGGCATGTAGACGCGTTGCTAGACAACGACGACGAAAAAATCAGCTATACAACATCCGTTACTGATTAACGGCCTCAAAAATAAGCATGCTTGGACGCCAAAAACTCTAAAGGGTAACAGAAGAACGGTGTTTCCTGTGCGGTCCGTGCCGAGATGTTATAAGCAAGACAGTTAAGGAGAGTCAGTTCAGAGTCAACAGTTGGAAAAATGAGAGAGTCGCCAACCGGTAAGAACGTGAGCGTGGAAGCAGAGGATATGGTTGGGATCGTCACCAGGCAACGGCTGTTGAAGGCATAGCAGACTGAGAAGACTTTATGTGTGCTGTGGTTACAGTGATCTTTGGATTGTGTAACTCAGTGAGATTGTCGTAGTTATTTGTAGTTACGTGTTGTTTAGGAGTTCAGTAAAACCGATTACCAATCCAAACCTCGTCTATAGTCTATAGTCACAATATATTAAGAGATGAATTGACCTATAATTTAGTACATGTGTATTGTCATAGTTTCAAATAGTTTTTCTGCAGGTATTTTTCTGGTTGGCAGTAATCGTATTGCCGAAGGGTTTGCCCTTAAGATGACATTCCGTTATTTATGGTTATATATTGATAAATTTCGGGAATTATATTGTCATGTTATTCTTATTCTAATGTTATATTTTAGCGTTCAGTTGCACTGATTTATGTCCATGATTTATTCTAACCGTCTTACAGTGCATACATTTATTCACCTTACTCTTCTCTCTTGCACTACATGTTTCAGCACAAAAGTGCCATCTTCAGGTGCATTTCGATGTACGTCAAACTAATTCATTGCATGCCCTGTTGTCTTTATACTAAAATATATATTCGTCATATATATTGATAAATTGTAAATATTAAAAATATTAAAACTGTTCAGGATTTGTCATCCTTATGTCATATCTCAATACGCGAGTCACGCCTATCTTCTTCTATCGGAGTATTCTTCCTACTTTCGTGTGTGTATTGTGCTTTGTGTTGTGTCTTGCTCCTGTGACTGCGTGTGTTATACTGCTGAGCCTGCTGGGTATGTGTGTCTGTTATTCTAATTCTTAAGATTCCATAAGAACGTATGGAATGAATGAACACCAGAAATAGAACATCATTGAATTACAGCACATGTGAATATAGAGTGTAAGAAAATTGCAACGTAACCAGTAAGTCAGCTCGTCTGTCTAACATAAAATTCCAGAGTCGGCATCTACACGTCACGTCCAAGGCTTCAGGTTTATCTTTCCCAGAAACTGGCCTAGAGAATCCGATTATAGCTTAACTATCAGCAAGGCCCGGATTTTGATGACATGTCTTCTTTTTTCCCTTGCATCCTATGCGATGCTCTTAAATATATAAATCTCGGATATGAGCTGCTGGGTACAGAAATGTAAATTTTATAGGTAATTTTTTGTCATTTTTTGACATTTTTAGGTTTAAGGTCATTTTTTCATTTTGGGGGTAATTTTTTGGTAAATTTTTGGACTTTTAAGGGTATTTCTTGTCATTTTTGGCCATTTTAGGGAATTTTTCTTCATATGTTTTCTGAAATGTGAATAACATGGAAGCGAAGTGTTCTTTCTTTTCTCCTTTCGGTCATTTTTCTGGATTTTTTCTGCCATTTTTTAAAAATTTAAGTCATCAAAATCCGGGCCCTGGTCATCAGGTATGTTTTTGTATTGTCTTCCATACAAATGAATCGAATATAGACGTCCGGTGTTCTTCTACAAAGTCTGTAAGTTCTTTCGGCCATCTTAAGTATTCTAATAATTCCACAATTGGCAACATTGTAATTATTCCATAGCTTCCATTCCACATGCTCATCATTCGCCATTTTGTGCAGAGGTATGCTACTGTTTTCTTATCTCTTATTTCCCTAAAATATATGTAAATCTTTTGTGTCTCATATTCCCACAGCCTCGCCTATTGAGAATGTTGTTTGCTGGAATGTAAGTACAAGTTAACTGATGTTTCGGAGGAACATTGTGTCTCCATGTTTAGGGTCGACAAATGAGCCAAGCAAGTAGCCAGCAGACGCTCACAACACAATATTAGTATATCCCCGCTCAGTACTCTGCATGTACATTTTTACATTTTCACGGTCAACTCCCGTTTGTCGAAAGTGAAAACGGCGAAGTTTGCTGCGCGTGAACTGAGCTCTGTGCAAAAAAGGAAACAAGAAACAAAGCGTATAAGCAGGCGAAAAAATGGTGAACCTGAGTGTACACCAAGATGGCGGATGTCCCCGTACCTTGATTCTGGAAATACTGGATACAGGCTGCATGCTAAGCTTGCCAGGTTTCCTAAAGATCGGTTGAGGTGTTCAGATTTGTTGAAGAGAGTGGTGAATACGTATACAAGCACACAGACACACACGAAGACAGTGAGGCGACCTCATAAGACTACTTTCATAGTTCAAAATAAGGTAAGCAGGCTAGCAAACCTAAAAAAAATAAATAATTCCGATATTTATGAACGGCAACAAAAGTTCTTCTGGACGTTCAAAGAAACTTTGACTCAATCTCTACCATATATCGTCGGTTCTTGTTGCAAAGATAAGAAATTTCATCCAGTTAATTGCAAGCAAATGCAAATCTTTTAAGATTTAGATGCTAGAAAAATTCCTCCAAACATTAATATCTAGGTGTATCATGGCCTACATTTGCCTTGTTTCATTTCAATTCCTTCATTGCATAGGTTTATATATAATGAATATATAATGAATTCCTTCATGATTTCTTAACGTTATTTTTGTTCATAAAGTTCTGTGCTTTTCCCTGCAGTTGCCTGTCATGTTCTGCATTACTTTCTGCATGTCTGCTGCAATCAGTTTGTCTTTCGGCTCTATACAACTAAC